AAATATAAAAAACGGTGTTTTACACCACTGTCAGAACTAATTAAAATAATTATATATCGAGGAACATATCAGTCCAATGCGAATGTTGAAATTCAACTGGCACGTGTAAGATAAAACTTTTTAAAGCTAAATGCACACCGTTCACTATGCCAATTGTCTGTTTGCTATTTCTTTATGTTTTTTAAATATGTATTGTATTGAATTTCTTCTCTACATTAATATTGTTAATTGAATGTTAAAATGTATAAATGAAACATCAAACGACATGTAAGCGTCCTCTTTCAGAATACGCTATTTATTGTGATTTCAATTAGCATTGTAAGAAGATAATGTACCTTTCACCGACTTTCCTATTGAATACAGCGCAGTGAGATTTTGAAATCGAAGGGATGTCACGCGAAGAAAGCGGCTCATCTGTTCGTAATTGTGGTACTTGAACTCGATGTTATACGGTTCCTCATACATTAAGTAGCGCGGATGATATAGACGAGGTACATCTCCTTTGGTATGGAATTCCATTCCACGAATATTCCCGTAAATGAAGACGAGAAAAAGTAGTGCGCGATACATTCTGTAACAATATCATTAAATATACGAATACCGACAGAGATATACTTGTAACTAGAAATTTTTTAAACTTAAGAATTCCTTTCATTCTCTGTGAGTGAACGAAGCCTAAGTAACCAATAATAAGTATAAATATATAGCTATCAGAGAGAGAGAGAGAGAGAGAAAGAGAGAGAGAGAGAGAGAGAGAGAGAAAGAGTGAGAAAAAATGAGAGTATAGGGCACAATATAAAAATTTATACAAAAATACTTAAAAATACTTTGTGTGTATATGTATAAATTGTACAAAGAGTATGAGATGTATACTTAATATTTTATATGAAAATATTGTAATCTTTATATGAAAATATTTCAATGAAAATATTGTAATCTTCGTTCGAAAATGTGCGTACAATACTTGTGCCAATATACAATACTTTAAATTATAATATCAGCTCTATTATATATATAGTAATAACTTATAATAATAGCTTGTACAAAATTTAATTATTAGAACCTTGTTCTTAGAAGTTTACATTACCTGATTGCTTAAACGTATCAGCACTGGAGAGATCACACCGTGGAATCCGTAGAATCCGATCGTAAAATCAACGATCTTCCGCGTTCGTGTGCGCGCAAAACTATCTGCGAAAGCGACACGTGAAACAGTATACGTGAATGACGAGTTTTTTCGAGATGTTAGTTTTTTTTCCCGTTACTTCTCGTATTAAGTTTATATGGATACACACGATGCCGGCGAAGAGGACAAGGACGCACACACTTTATTTCAATCGTACGTGATCACGTTGGCGTTTGCGGAAGTCACGAAGGAAGAAACGAAAGAAAAAAAAGAAGAAAAATAGAAAAAGCAAGAGAAGGGGAGAGAGAAGGGGAGAGCGAGAAAGTGAGAGAGAAGAAGAAAAGATAAACGACTGCAAGATCAAAGATCCTGAAGACCAGTCCGCGGTACCAGCGACCAAGAAACGTAGGTGAAAACTCAATTCGTAAGAGTAACAGCAGAGAGATGTATGATACTGTGAACTTACAAAGAGAGAAGGGAACTATATCGTGCACTCACTACCACCATCGGCAAGCAACACCAAGCGCCAGTAGCAGTATCAGTAGCAAGAACAATAGCAATAGCAGTTGCAACAGCAGTAGCAATAGCAGTACCAGTACCAGCACCAGTACCAGCACCAGTACCAGCACCAGTACCAGCACCAGCACTCGAGCACCCAACACCACCACCGCCGACGCCACCACCACTACTAATGAAACCCACTTCCTCCGTAGCTCTGGTATCTGCTGCTGTCTGCTCGCCGTTGTAGAACAACCTCTGGCACAATGTGTCCCAGCGCTAGGAGACAGCCCGTTTACTGTCTCATCTCGGCACTACCACACTGTCGACCGGGCACACAATAAGCAACGTCAAGCGTATCGCCGCGAATTGTTATTTCGCGCACATTTAGCGCGGACGTATTTATCGTGATATCTGGAAATCTCCCGCGGACGTGGAACGGAATTTCGCACGGCAATGTAACGAAATAATAATAGTATGATTCGTTAAAAACCATAAGAAACGTCTGATTATCTACGAATCAGTTAACGCGAATGACAATGCTGATAAAGAGAGACTCTCGTAGTTCTGTAGAAAGTAGTTCTGTAAAAGTTAATTATGCCTTTCGAGAAATGTTAACGTCAAATTTTTTCCTTACACGTTAAACGGATATTTGTTATACATTCTACGGATGAGACGAGAAAACTGTTTACTAAACGTGCATTAGATTGGTAAGAAAATCGGAGAGACGTGCTAATTAAAAAGATATATAATTTTTTCTTCTTGCGTTATTTATTACAAGCAGCTCGTAGGCGCTATCAATACACGTAGCTTCTAATAGTCGTAATTAATAATTCTAGTAATTGTCAATACTTTTTACACATTGCGAAATAATTTCCAAGCGATCTCGCGTAAAGAGAACAAGTACGTATGAAACTCGCGTGCGCGGCTACCGATTACAAACCACTACTACCGCCGTATATTTACCACTACCAACTGATATTACCACTACCAGCAACGGCGTTAATTGAGGTGAAGAGGTTTTCGTTCTTGATGTTTGGCACACGAACCAACCGACCGACCGACTCATCCGCCCACTCACCTACCTATCCACGAGCCGCTGTTACAGGCGATTTCGCGTCAGCTTTAGGCGCTATATTTTCGAATATAATGAGCCGCCTGTCTATTCGTGCGCCGAGGGCACCACCACAGAGATGGTGTACAGGTCGATAGAGAGCATTCGTAAGATCACTGACGTCCACCACACGTACTTTCGACGTGCTATTGAGGACGGTGTCCTACTAGCGGTGCTTGCCGGCCTCATGCCTGCTTGCCTGCCTGCCTGCCTGCCCGCCTATCTGCTTGCCTAACGGAGGCGCGGATCACGGTTTCGGATGGATCGTTGAACTCACGAGCGGAAGGTGAAACACATCGAAAAAAGCAGTCTCGGCGAAAAGTATGTCACCGAGGTAATACGATGTAGCAAGTAAAAGGAGAAAGGCGGGGAGAGAGAGAGAGAGAGAGAAAAGGAGAGAAGTGTCCAAACTTCAAGTTCCTGAGGAACTTCGATCACGTGGTTTACCTTGAACCGTCTCAATCCATTGTCAAAGAGAATCTTTTTATAACGGAACCATTATTAAACAACATAAATCTTTAAGATTCAATGAATTGAAATATACAGTGAGAGCAAAAAGTATTCGTACAAGGAAATTTTTTTATAAAAAAAATTTTCTTATTTGTAGAAAATAAACATTAATTAGCAATTTTATACAATTGATACATTCTGTTTTAACATAAACAAACGAGCTTCACATGTATTCCTGATTTTAGAAGCTAAATTTCTCGACTGTACGAATACTTTTTGAGCATCCAAACAATATAATTTTTTATTTTCACTTATTTTTCAGATAATATATTTTCTATAATTAATAGACATCTTTTTGGTAAATATAATTTTAAGAAACATACAGTCAATTTTATTCTTTATGAATAAATTATTAATTACCCAACAAGAAATTAAACTTCGAATCGATGTCAAATTGATGTTGAAACCATCGTATCGATATCGATTCGACATCAGTTCGATGATTCATTTCTCGCTAGATAATATTTACTTTTTAAAAATAAAGTTTTTTTAAAAAACATTTTCTCCGTACGAATACTTTTTGCACTCACTGTAACTAAGTGAATGCCAAAAACGTGTGGAAAATCGAAAAATTTCGATATTAAACATTTACTTATTTTGGAATAAAATAAATTTTTTAACAAGCAACAAAACGATGACGAGATAAATTCTGGTTTTCAAACTGACGTATGCGACAAATATATGATATTATATAAATATATATTATGCAAAATGAAAGGGTGAATATCAGTTGTTTTTGCAACGTCGATTTATTGATGACCGTAATTAATGTCTATGGAAAAATGTAATGTTGAAGATACTAAAAATTAATTGGCACACACAACTTTCCCTCTTAAAATAATTATGATTATTCTTAGAACCTTTCGTTTTCTCTATAAAGTATTATTGTGTGCAATGCGGGTGTGTGATAAATCATATAATATAATAATTATATATTTTAGAAAACTGTTACACAAGCGCGATGTATGCACCGTGTGTACATGTAAAAACTTTATTTTCTCTGATGCAATATTAAATATTGTATTCAAAATTTAAAAAATCTCTTCCACCGCAAAATAAAATACTTTTAACAAATAATTATTATATCGTAATATTAGAAACAAATCTGTCCTAAAAAATGCAAATATGGTGCAAAAAAAATAAAGTTGATCCAGTCGAGAACTCAGTGTTAACGTTTTTTTTATACTTGCTAGAGTTTTATAATAAATGCTTGTATAAAACTATATTTTACTTCCTGGGAATATGACAATATGTTGGAATATATCGGGAGGGATAACATTCCTCAATTGGATCAAAATAACAACGTCATTATAATTACAAGTCTGATACCGGTGGTAAGGTATCGACAAGATGCCGCCACAGTTATTAATGAATCATTAATTTTAAGTTGTATAGGGCAATGACATAAACGCGCTTATCCGCAGTGTCTTACGAACCTTTACCACGTTTATATATTGTTGTGTTAGTTATTTTTACAGATACACAAAAACGTACAAACCGTAGTTACATAATTTATGATATTTGCTATGAAAGTTAATCTCTCTCTTTATAAGTTCTTTATATAAAATCATATTCATAAAGATTTATGTACAGAAAGTAGGACAAAGTTTAGAAAAACATTTTTACTTTTAAAAGATATAATCATTTTCAAAAAAGGACACTTTTTATTCCAATGTCATATATTATTTCAAATACAGATTTTTTTTCAATAAATAAGAGAATCTATTACTTTTGGTTGTAGAAACTGTAGAAATGCAGATACTGCCTCTCAATTTCTTATTGTATACTATAAGTGGTTTATGGCGACCAATCAAGTGGTCTTCAAAATGCTCCAAGTTACTGTATAGTATGTTCACCTTTTCCACGATATATCTATTATCATATTTGATGCTGACTCACTTACTGTATATCATCTTTGTTATCGATAACGTGGAAGACTTCGCATCGACTTCCCCATTTTTCTTCTCAACAATCAGCGTAATATTCAAAGCGGTTACTGCTGTTATCTATCGCGACCGAATTGTCAATACAGTTGAAATTCTGCAAAAAGAACCATGCAAAGCCTGTGATAAAGATGAGACTGATATTCAGATGAAATTCGATCATACAATGAGGTCGGTATACATGTATCAATTAATAATTATCAGTGTGACGTTCGACAATATCAATAAATAAATTAATAAATGTGTGATGATATACACACAAAGTTAGTAAAATTTTATACGCGAATAAATAAGTAAAATTGAAGAATCTTAATACAAATTAAACTAAATTAATTCTTCTGACATACAACAAATAAAGTACAACAAATTAAATTAATTTTTCTGAACTTAAAACAAATGAAAACTAAATCATTATTACACAATTACAAACGTATCGCATATTTGTGCATTTGTGCCTTTCACCGTTATGGTAAGGCTGCGTTCGGAAATGTTACCCGAGTGCTCCCACATATCATTTTATCCTCGTTGCTCACCCAATGTTAAACAAGGATAATATGATATACGGGGACACATGGGTAATGTTTTCGATCGCAGCCTAACAGGGTTAGTTAAAGTGATACGTGCAATGTTTGATGTTCATGTTCCTCTCACTTCATTTATCGAATAGAATTATCAAATTCAAATGGATAACTTTGAACCTTTATTGCAATCTTATACCATCCTAATCGTAAGATAATTATATGTTTCTAACATATTTTTAAAAATTGTATACAGATCGTATTCCATATATTACTTACTTTTATGTACGTTTTCGGCGGTGGGTGCTGTAACGGCAGGAATGCTCGATGTTTTGGAGGGTCAGTTACCTTATAACACGTGGGTACCTTGGGATTGTACTTCATTCCTTTTATTCTTGTTTACGTCCCTTCAAGAAATCGTATCTCTAATTGTCGCCACGATTGTAAACATAGCGACGGAAACTATAGTATTAGGATTTTGTTTACAATTGTGTGCACAATTTGAAATTTTGGAGCATCGCCTTCAAAGAATGGTAAAACGCAGAGAAGAGGAAATATTTCCGGAAAGTTCGTTGAATAAAGTATCGCGCAAAATAAGCAAGTTGTCGAAGCACATTTCCCATCATCTATGCATAATCAGGTTTGTCAAGTATTGTAAATGATAAAGTTACTTTTATGTACATTTTTATTGAGTATGTTAAATAATACTCGATATATGTATGTGTGTGTGTGTGTATATATTGTATATACATAATTACATATATTGTATATCATACAAAGTGTTCGGTAAAGACTGTAACAACTTAAAAATATAGGTTTCTAAGATCATTTTGAGACGAAAATTTTGATAACAGAATATCGAGACCATAATAGTTTTTAAAGCATTATTTATAGCATATTTAAAGTTAGCGAATCATATCGCTTAAAATTCGCGCTTAAAATTTAAATATGAAAATTTCCAATCATAAACGCGTGAGCTTTAGATTTTACCCTGTACATATACACACACACATACACACGCGCACGCAACGTAAGTACACACAACGTACATGAATAATTTAATATGTATATGATATAATATGTATAAACATTTACAGACTTGCCGGAACAATTAATGGCGTATACAGCAAAGTGATCTTTGTTCAATTTTTCGTTAGTATTTTGGTATTATGTTCAATTGTGTACCATTTGTCTTCTCATTTGACGTTTACAGACGTCGCCACCTTAATCGTCTACACATTCAGCATGTTTGTGCAGATTTTTGTTTATTGCTGGGCTGGAAACGAAGTTATGCTCAAAGTAATGACTGCTATAAAGACACATGTATTTGAACAGATAAAAAAAAATTTTTTATGACAAAACAAAAAAAACTCTACAAGATTTCTGCAACTAGCTTTTTTTGCTTATTCCATTTATTTTAATCAATTTTATTTGCGTAGAGTACTGGATTGAGCGAAATAGTGTATCACATGGATTGGATGTTGATGACAATCAGCGAACAAAAAGATCTACTAATGATTATGAAGCGTTGCACAAAACCTATTAAATTTACCAGCAGTTTTTTGGTGACATTATCTCTGGAATCTTACGGCAATGTCAGTTTTTAAAGATTTATAATATTTCTTACAAGTATGGTGCTTAATTCCTACCAAATTTGGATTTTACTTTACAGCTTCTGAAGATGTCTTTCTCCGCATTTAATGTCCTGCAACAATTTTGAAACTTTAATCTTTCGCAATACACTATGTATACGATATCATATAATATAATGAATAAATTGCCCATTGCAAAATATATTCGAATATCTACTCTATTAATGTTGGCACATGCGACTGACGTTACGCGCTTTATTTCTTAGTCTAATGATGAGTTATTTATGGTATACTGCGTGCATATAATATATGCATGTACAAAACGCATTACATTACGAAATGATAAATAAAAATTAAATTAAATTAAAGTCGTTCGCAATATCGCAATAATATTTTCACATAAATTTTCGCAATATTGCAGCAAAATTTTATCAACAATATAATTGTTGCTATACAGCATATTTCATTCGAAGGAACTTCGTCCTAGGAACGTCTTAGGACGTCTTCTCGATGTTTTAGGAAGTCCCTTGAATGTCTGTATACTGTATAGGTTATATACATTTTAATTAACGTCTCAAAAACTTATCTTATTGTTGGTTTTTTTTTCATATATTCTCGAGATAATTGATTTCAAATACAAAACATGATCGCTTAAAAAAAAAAAACATTTAAAATTAAGTTCAGATTTTCAGAAATGTCAAAATATTCTTAGGGTGCGTTTCGAGTTATGCATGAAGCGCATGATGTATCATGTTATCCTTCTTTATTATTTAGTGAACAACAAGGACAAATGAAGCATCATGCACTTTATGCGAAATTCGGAACGCACCCTTACATTGACTTTTTTGTGCATTTCTGCATATAACTTCATCCTATAAGAAATATCATAATGAAGAATATGTAAATTGTATATAATATATTAATTATTAATCGATAAAGTTATATTTCTTTAAGAGATAATATTACAAATATTAACATATTAAATATTCAAATTTGAAATTATAATGTGCAACAATTTAATTTTATACATAAACAATAATACTTATAAAAATTATTTGATTAATTCAGTTAATAGAGAAAGAAAAACATTATTTCTACGAGTCTTACATTTCTCTGTGCGATACTTTACGTATACAAGAATTGATACAAGAATTCTACCAGCGACCTTCGTACTTACTAAAGAAACAAACCGCAATTATGTAGGTACAGCAAAAAATATACGTATTCTCGACTTGTAGACAAGATAATAAAGTAAAGGAAATATCGCTTATATTCGTTGAACTATTTCCATTACTTTTCTGACATAAATGTGAATAAACATTTTATTCGATGGGAATAGACAGTATGTTTAGATACAAGGGGTAAATGCACCCCTTGCTCATTATAAGTAAGTCGACCTTCGCGTCCGTTACTACAGCTGTTATTACGCTATTCGCATAAAAGAAAAATAAGCGTGTACTATAATAAATTATAATAGGGGCTCTGCGCTAATGACCGTCGCTGGCATAAGACTAAGAAGTTAAACGAATAAACTCGTAGTCTCATGTAACACGAGAATACAATTTTATTTGTTGTAGTTGAAATTTAATATTGTGTTTTTGATATTGAAACAAACTTATATCTATATTAACATCTATTAATTTTGTTGTGTTATTAAAAATGTGAAAAGCAGTATTCCGAGAAAAGTGCACGACAGATATTTATAACTTTCTTTCTTTCTCTCTCTCTCTCTCTCTCTCTCTCTCTCTTCAATTATTAACTAATATATACGATCTACATCAGCGTATTCCAAACTTGAATAGATTGCGACTTACTTTTTAAAACGATAAACATCAGCAATTCATCTAGTTTTAGTAAATGCATAAATGGCTTTGTTAATCCTTTATTAAATATGAAAAAGTGATAAACAAGTAAATTATAATAATTATTTATGTATACTATAATGCTCTTTTAATTTTTTATAAAATATAATTTTATAAATTATTTTTTAGATATATAATAATAAGATATGTAAAGAATGTCTTTGTTTCTTTCTTCTGTTGATAATAGCTTTGACATCGCGATATCAATGTCAGTTGTTCAGCATAAAAATTTGAAAATTTTAGTTTATATCAAAATTTGATTATGGTTCCACATCGTTAAAAATACAACTTCACACATACAAAGTCGTATAAAAAATGCGCGAGTTAGTACAATGAAGTACCCACAATCAGTACACAATATTTAAGAAATATTTAAAAAATATTATGTGCTGATTGGGTAACAAAGTGTAATTTTTAACATTCTAAATTTTTATAAGTCGCGACCTACATTTTAGGAATTTCTGATTTATGGATTAAATAAATAATATTTATTGCCATCATATAATCATATAATTTACAATAAATAAAAAATATAAGTTTTTTTTCCCAATACTGAATTAACAATTCTTTTCAATATATATAGAAATATCCATATCCTTGTCGCAACATCTTAATGAGCTGATCATAAAGAGAGTTACGAATATGCAAATGTTTTCTCTAAATTTTTTAATGTATACCATTGGTGGTGTATGGATGCCAATTGAATGGTCATCGAACATCGCTAAGCTACTGTACAATGTGTTTACCACGGTTATACTAGTTTTGTTATACTTTTTGATGATAACTCAATTCATGGATATCATTCTTGTTGTCGATAATATCGATGATTTCGCAACAAATACTTTAATGTTTTTGACTATTGTTGCTGTTACTTGTAAAGCAACAATCGTTGTAGTACGTCGGAAGGCGATCATCAACTTGGTGCAAGTATTATTGACGGCACCTTGTAAACCTCGAAATGAGGACGAAATGACGATACAAACTAAATTTGATAAATTTATAAAGTAAGTTTTTGCCATTGTTGTAATTCTTTGATAGTCAAAATGTTTAGTCATCATTTAAAACGTCTATAATTTAAGCGTTTTTCTGAATCTAACCGGCATTGAGTTTATTTGATTCAGACTAAAAAAGTTATTTCTACAGCAAAAGCAATCTCATTTTTTTCCTAATTGAATTTTGTTTCAAAGATATATCAATTTTCAATATTTAAACGGTAAATTAACAAATATTATATAACACATACACTTAAATAATTTAAAATTTATCAAAGTATATATAATATACATATACATATATATACATAATTTACTCTTTATGTATTACATTTCTCACGGAATAATAATCGAATTTTGCAATAAAATTTGTTATAAATGTTTGTAAATATTAAAAATACAAATAATTTTCAATTACTATAAGGACAGGAACATTTAGTAAATATAATCTTAATTATATCTTTTACAGATCATGCTCGATAAAATATTCGCTTTTAGCAACAAGTTCCGTTACTGGTGTTACAGTAAGATCTGTGCTAAATGCTATGCAAGGTCAATTACCTTATCGAGTATGGCTACCATATGATTTTAATGTATCTCCAATGTTCTGGATTACGTGTGTCCAACAAATCATAACAGTGATTTTTGTTACTATTATAAATGTCGGCACGGAAACCCTAGTTTTTGGATTGTTTCTGCAAACATGTGCTCAATTTGAAATCTTTGAAAGTCGTCTTCGAAAATTAGTGACTAATAAAACTAATGAATTAATGAAAAATAAAATTAGATATTTAGAACACTCTTCTCCTTCGTCAAATGAAGAAAAAGCGATAATATCAAAATATATATATCATCATCTCAAGATTTACAAGTTAGTATCATTTCTTGATATGTGCATGTTCACATATCTTTAGTTATTATTAATATACGTATTAGTTGCTCTATCTATAAATTATCGTCATAATAATAATAGTTAATGTTTCCTCTCTCTCTTTTTTTATGGATAGAAAGATATTTAAAGTCTCCCAAAAGAATGATTACATCAATGCTTATTAAAATTATGCAATTGCTATTGTAATAAATCATAAACGCCAGAATATTTTACTGATTCTTAAAATTAAGCAAGTTACAATGTACTAATAAGAGAATTTTCATTTACAACATGAATTATTAGGTGTTATCATTGCAGATATGCCAGAACGGTAAACGTCATATTCAATCAGGTACTCTTTGTCCAATTCTTTGGCAGTATATTGGTATTATGTACAAGTGTATATTATCTATCAGCACATAGTTCGCTATCCGAAACAGCCACTTTGATAGTATACACTATTTGTATGTTTGTACAAATCTATGTTTATTGTTGGTCGGGAAACGAAGTCATACTTAAGGTAAGATTGTATTAACAACTCAGTTAAAAAGATATACTTTGTAAATTAAAGTAATACAAAATCACGAATGTATCTTCATAATTAGGGTAAAGATGCCTATTATGAGATAAATGTATATTTTTAAAGACTTATAATTTATTTAATTTGTAATCTTAGCTCTTATTTTTATGTCAATCTTGTAAGAGATTTATTCAAGTTTTATTGCCAAAAGTTAGCAATCGGTAATACTACTGGCCAGAAAATAAAATTATAATCTATATTTTATTGTATATAAAAGTTTTTATTAAAAAATTGCAAATTTTGCTAATTCAAAAAAAAGGTTCCTAATATGAGACACAAGGGTTTTCTCGTATAAAATAGTACTTTATAATATTAGGAAATCAAAGGGAAAAATAAAGACAAGCTTTCTATACAGGGTGATTCAAAATAATTTTTGTCCTTAAAGAGACATATTCCTGGCCGTATTCTGAGACAATTTTTACTTTCACAAAAATTCGTCCGAAGCTTAGTTTTTATAAAAAGAAATGGTTAGCGTATCACAAGTCGAGTATGAAAGGTAAGCAGGGACGGTGCGCTCACCGATGCTTGCAGGTGCTTCGAATTCTCTCTGCACCTTCATCGGTGAGCGCCCCTGCTTATCTTCCATACTCGACTTGTGATACGCTAACTATTTCTTTTTATAACTTAAAAACTAAGCTTCGGATAAATTTTTGCTGAAGGAAAAATCGTCTCAGAATACGACCAAGAATATATCTCTTTAGAGACAAAAGGTTATTTTGAATCACCTTGTATAAACGCTTTTACAATACAAAAGTAGGAACGTAGCAAATTTCAATCTCAATTATATATATATTATTATGTATATAATTATATACATAGTAATTGTATAATTTTTCAATAACTTTGTCATTTTTAAACACAATAATCCTACGATTAGAATCCATTACAATTATAATATATCAAACTTATATGCTTATTACAAAATGAGGTCAGAAAATAAAAAAAACTTCTTAATTTTCAGAAATTATAAGTATACTCTGAATACCCCATATTACGAATCCCATGCCTTACAATTTCACAATCATCGAATCTGATTTGTACAATTAAGCAAATCATCATATACCGTATTTTCCTGTTAATACGATCTTACTCTATCACTGCATGCAGAATTTATTGTTGAATATTTATTTATTACGCATACTAAGAAGATTAAAAAATTCGCCTCAATAACAATTTGACAGCATTCAATTTCATAAATCTTTTTTCACAACAATTGCATGATAATGAATTTCCTACTAAATAGATTTCATCTTGAGAATATTAAGCTCATAATGAAACTAATGATTACATGCGGTTATTACCTACTTTAACGGAAACTCCGCTATTTCATATTAGGAGCCTATCATATAATAGACGATTTTACGAAATACGTATATATGTACTTACATGTATAAAAGAATGTTTATAAATATATCGTGGCATACATATATTTGTACAAAGTATTCAATAAAATAATTCAGTAGATATTATTGTGTAGAGATAATTATTTTATTTATGTTGATAGAGTATGAGCGTAGGAGACACAATATATCATATGAACTGGCCTTCACTATCAGTCAACGAAAGAAAAGAATTATTAATGATCATGTTACGCAGCACACTTCCTATGAAATTTACCAGTAGCTTTTTGATAACCTTATCTCTCCAGTCTTACAGTAGTGTTCGTATTACTCTTATTTTATATTATTCTTATGGTAAACAAATATGCCCAGTCTTCTGTATTAATATATCTCTGACTCTTTTCATTTAGATCTTAAAAATATCATACTCGGCATTTAATGTATTACAAAAGTGAGATATAAATAATAAAAAGTGAGCTTGGATATAATAATAATGTTATAGCATTTTGGCTATAAATTAATTACTGCAAATTTTGCCTGCTCATTTATCTCGCAAACAAATTGTAAAGACGCTATTATAAAACTTGTAATTGTTAGACTTGCAGTTCTTCTCTGATACCTTAAATTCTACATTGCTGACAATAATTAGAGAAAACGAATATTGTCCTCCAACAGTAAAAATCAATATTATCAATCCATTATATCAATATTCTAAATAAATTTAATATAGTATCGTACAAAAGACTGTAAGTATAATTGGAAAAAAAATGATTGAAAAATAGATATCTGTGTATAAAATAAAAAAACAAAAATGTGACATGCAATTCAACATACAAGTGCACACGCAACGAATATATATATTTTGCACACTGCAATGCAATGCAATAATTGGGTTTAATACAACAGCAGCATTATACAACAATTTTAGCTTTGACATTACAGCCAAAACAGAATAATTTCTCAATCTATGCCACACATGTGGTATACATAAGATTAATACATAATTATTCTATATACTTGTTATATTCGACATATAATTGTAGTTAATTTACGAAATACTATGTATTATCTTTATTGTACTTGTCTTTTTATAACATAAGACTTTGCAGTAAATACGATCTTCCACTTATTGTTAGTTCTAATGGATATACGAAAAATATACAAATATTCTAAAAAACACGCAAGTCCAAATAACATACTAAAGACGTTTTTAAAAAGATAACTCTAAAATTTTTCTAAAAAACGCTTTCTAAACGTCTTTCAGACTTTCTGAGAAGACATTTGAAAATTATATATTTTTTTTAAAGTATGTACAGCTATGTATTTATATTATCAACTGTAACGTATTTATCGAGAAGCGACACATTATATGTAACGTATCCTTTGAAGACACGAGACATTTCTAATAAAGCAACTTGTAGAAAGTTTTGTTTTCTAATGGTTTTTGAAATCGCTGAATTTGATTCTGGTCTTAGAATTCGAAAATTCAAATTTCAAAAAAAAATTTAATGTGAAACTCGATTTTTGAAGATTCTTGATATCGCTGAATTTGAATGTATCCTTTTGAAATTCGATGAAAACATCGATAGTAACCTTCACAAAGGAAAATCTAATCACAGTGCTTATTAATCAAAGTTTGAAAGTCAATTTGGAAATCAATATTATGTATCAATTTTTATCTATTTCAGAAGTTGACCAGCAAAGCAACCATAAGGGGTCATCCTCTTTTATTTTATAAACTGTTTGTTTTCGATTTTTATGGAACTTGACCTGTGGACTAATTTAATAATATTTTATTCGAATCCAAAGTCAAAAATAAAAAATTCAAGTTAATAGATTCAATATGGCGCGCGCACGCAGTAGAGTTTTGCAAAAATTATCAAATTATTGTAATTATAAATCTCGGAATTTTTAATTTGGGAGTAACATCAAATTTATGAATTTGCTTTATTTGAAGCTCATCAATCTAAACAAAGAGATAATACTAATTTCTAAACTGACTTTCAAATTCTGATTATGAATCCTATGACAAGTAATATCAAGAATCCTCTTAAATCAAATTTCACAATAGATTACTTTTTTGAAATTTACATTTTAGAATTCTGATGCCAAAATCGAATTCAGCGACCCCGAAAATTCTTAGAAAACAAGACCTTCCATAAGTTACTTTGTTAAAAAGTTGCGGTCTTTAAAGGATTAAAGATATACAATACTCACATCGCACATTACCTCTTATTTCATATAATAAATAAGGCTTTGTGAGACATACGATCTATCACTCAATTCTGATAAACATGAAGATATACAAATATTTTATTCGATGAGAACATAACTACAAGGTACAGGGTTGTAAAAGACATCCATCGATGGTTGCAAGTAGGAAATTTATACAATTATAGTATATATTCAAGAGCGGAAAAGAATGTACACGTAATAAATGTCTAATCGACTTTATGTCGATTTTTTAATGACCATTATTAATGGTACTAGGGCTAAGAAGTTGGAGTACATAAAACTATACATAGTCTATCGTAAGACGTGCTCGGTTACATTTAAAATAAATTTTATTGATCGTTACAATAGTGAAAAATTTGCCTGCTGCATTTGTTAATTCTGTTATAATAGTAGCTAGAATTGTAAGAAACGATACTCCGAAAGAGGTGCACGATAATGCTTATAAGGCCTTCTAATTCATATGAATGGTACATTGCATTACAGTTAACTGAGATCGTTCGCGATTCAAGATAAAGTCATACACAAAATAATATTGTAATGCGATTTATCGCGAATGTTTAGTATTAAGTAAATGTTCAGTAGTAAGTACGATTCAATAGTAAGTACGAAATTTGTGAAAATTAATCACATATATATAAATCCAGAATATTTTACAAAATATTATATTGCCTCCTATATTAAATTTAATTTTTCGTATATACGGACATTTTACGTACAGATCTTACATATCTTATATGTCTTATTACAAGGATATTCGGATATTTAATTTAGTACATCTATTTAAGAAAAAATATTTTTTGCAATGTTTCAAATTTTCTTTTAGATATTTTACATAGAGAAAAGACTATACTTTTGTACGTATCAATAAATTATTCGTAAAGAAGAAGGTGAAAAAGGGGTCAAAATATGCAAATACTTTCTCTAAATTTTTTTATATATAACCTTTGTGGTATGTGGCGACCTAATGAGTGGTCATCAAATGGTGCAAAACTACTGTATAATGTATTTACCTTTATGGTAATATTCTCGGAGTACTTTTTGGTGGTAACCCAATTTATGGATATAATTTTTATTGTCGATAATATCGACGATTTTGCCACTAATACTCTAATGTTCTTGACTATTGTTGCCGTATGTTGTAAAGCTACTATCGTTGTGATACGTCGGAATGCGATCAACAATTTGGTGCAATTATTGATGGAGACGCCGTGTAAACCTCGTGACGAGGATGAATTAGCAATAGAAACGAAATTTGATACATTCATCAGGTAAAAAAGTATAATTAGAAAGATCTTACAGTGAAATAGTATAACTCGCATAAAATACCATCGCGAGAATTTAATTGGTGTACTGATATACGGAACAAAGGATTCAATTAATATTGTACAACATATGTTTTAGAACTTCAGCCAGAAAGTCTTTTACTTAGTGTTGAATTTTGACAATTACGTTTTAAAATTATCATTGCTACATTTAAAAAATAATAAATATTTATATTTTGCTTAATTAAGAAAAACTTTTTATAAAGTATACTTCTCCAAACATTATTTTAAAACACGCCACATTCACATACGTATAGAGAATAAATTGTCATAATATATTTATTCAAATTAAAAATACAAATGAATTTTAATCTTAATCGTAACTATACAAAAGTTTACGAAATACAATTTTGTTTTTATATTTACAGATCGTGTTTGATAAAATACACCCTTTTGTCGATGAGCTCTCTTACAGGCGTGACAATAGGATCAGTAGGGAATATCATGCAAGGTTATCTTCCTTATCGAATATGGTTGCCATTTAATTACACTATACCCTTGGCATTTTGGACTATATCCATCCATCAGATTGTAACTTTAATTTTTGCCACCATGATAAATGTCAGCACGGATATTTTAGTCCTTGGATTGTTTTTACATACGTGTTCCCAGTTTGAAATTTTCGAAAGTCGTCTTCACAAATTAGTGATTAATAAAACAATTAACTATCTGGGAAATGCAGTCTCTTCGTTGAATAAAGATAAAACAGAGATATCGGAATGCATACGTCATCATCTCAGCATTTACAAGTAAGAATTTCTATGCATATGTTCAAATGCCGCTTTATATATATGTGCGCGTGTGATTGCGTGCGTATACGTTATTTATTTTCTGTATTTAAAAATTATTATTGTCTAATATAATGGTAATCGTTGACGTTTATGATGGAAAGATGTTTAAAATAAAAAAAAATGTAAGTAACCAACATTACTTGAAATTATTAAACAACTGGTATGACCTCGGAAACGGAGCACTCTCAATTTACACATTATTTTATTGGATGATTCTGTGTCAAGTTGCGCGAAATTATAAATTATGTCTAAATAGTTGCTCAAGACAAATATAGCTTTTGTTCTAGTAAAGGATATATGTTAAAATTTTTTTACAATTTTTAAATTTATATGGGAATCACGTTATAAAGTTATATGTCGAGATAATATAATTACCTTAATCACACAGCAATTAATGTAAGACTAATATGAAACAATTAATAGATACGCCAAAATGGTAAATGTTATATTCAACCAGGTGCTCTTCGTTCAATTCTTTGCAAGCATACTGGTATTATGTACAAGCGTGTATTATCTGTCAATACATATTAGAAATTTCTCTGGTATTCTGCCTTTTTTAGTATACACTATTGGCATGTTTGTACAAATTTATATTTATTGCTGGTCCGGAAACGAAGTCATTCTTAAGGTAACAATGCTTTACAAACTAATCGTATATCTTATTGTTAATGACATAAAGAAAACTGTAGCGAAATTGTTGTGAATATTTTACATCTCAATTTGTTACAAAATTTTGAAAGATGATAATTCTGGTGATTTACCTGGTAGATTTGGAACTAGTCTATATAGATGTACATGTTAAGGGCAAAGTCCGCATAGTGGGCAGAGTTGACATTGTACGAGTTGCCTGCTGTACAATGTCAGCATTGCCAATTTGCGGACTTTGTCCGTAACTTACATACAAATTACATGTAGATATATGTAGATATTTATACGTATAATATTAATAATGTTGATAAATATTGATTTTCATTTGTATTGCGAAATAATTATTTCATTTATGTTATGTCAACAGAGTATGAGTGTAGGAGACGCTGTATATTGTATGGATTGGCCACTATTATCAGTTAACGAAAAGAAACAATTGCTCATGGTCATGCTACGGAGCACAATTCCTATAAAGTTCACAAGCAGCTTCTTGATAACCGTCTCCCTTCAATCATACAGCAGTGTCAGTAATATTGTGGTATTATGAGTACTTTGTTAACGAAATAGATATCTGTACGTGATATTAGCAGTAACACATTTACTTGTAAAGTATGCACATCAGAAAATTGCACCATAGAAATTTTTAATAACTGTAGCATAATAACAACAATAATCTATATAAACATTTTCTCTAATTTTCGTTTCAGATATTAAAAATGTCATACTCGGCATTTAATATACTTCAGAAGTAAAATACAAATAATTAAAAGTTTTCTAGGAAATGATAATTATGTAGTTTTTCATAAATTAGTAAAATTTAAAAATTAAAAAATTTCTATTTATTTATTTCAACCGTACACTTTATGACGACCCTAAAACATTCAATGTACGCATATTGAGTACATGTACTTCCCTACTGAAAAAAATCACATTACGAAGTTACATAACGAAATCATGTAATTAAAAATACAAATAAATTACATAATGAATTGTTCCAAATCATTACCTTATTTTTTAAAATCACGTAATTTTTGAAAAATCATATAATATTAGAAATAATTTCATCTATTATGTGATTTTATAGTTATCAAATTTTAAAGAATTAAATAATAGAAATAGGAAGAAAAAACATATCATTGTGTGACTTTTTAAATTACGCGATAAAAAAAAATCACATACTGATTTGGAACAATCCGTTACGTAATTTACCTGTTTTAATTACATGATTTCATTATGTAATTTTGTGACGTGATTTTTTTCAGTAGGGTTTACACAGTGAAATGCATGTTTTAATTCAACCGGCACTAATTTTGACTTGAGCAGGAATCAAGAAAAAGACATTGCCCAATCTGCCCAATCTGCCATATATGATATATTAGGTATAGGTTTGGTATAATAGTTACCGCGTACTCTTGCTGTAATCAGCATATGTTCGAATAAGTCAATTTAGAAAATATAGTATTCAAGTTTTTGTGGGCCAGTGAACCTATTCTTCTTTATTTTGTAACTGCTCACTCAATTTTTATAAAATTCGACTTATGGAATAATTTAATACTGTTTTATTTAAATATAAGGTTTAAAAAAAATTCAAAATGAATTCAATGCGCCAGACAGAATTTTTTTAAATAATTTAATCAGCATAAAATTTAGTTTTAGAAAACTTTTTATTGCAATAAGTAACATTAATTTCGCTTCATTTGAAGCTCATCAGTATATACTCAAACAGATAGTACTGATTCTGAACTACAAACTTTCAATTTTTATTATGAGTCACAGAAAAGTATTCATAGTTGATTTTTATATTCAAGACCGTTTTAAGATGTCGCGAATAAATCAGAGGACCATATCTTAAAACATTACTTAAGACGGTCTTAAAATAAGAATGGACAATGAATACTGACCTTAGAGTCTTCTTCATGCAAGTTACTATCCCTATGAAAATCAAAATTTTTAGGCTACACTCAAATTCAATGATATCAAGAAAAACCTTTTAAAACCAAATTTAACAATAATCAGATTACTTTTTTGAAATTTAAATTTTAGAATTCTGTTGCCAGAATCAAACTCAGCGGTCTCAAAAATCCTTAAAAACAAAATTTTTCATAAAATTTTTGCTTTGTTAGAAAGTTTCGGTCCTCAAAGGAATTATTAGATATACAATGCCGATATCGCATATCATTTCTTACTTCGTACAATAAAGTAAGCCTTTACGAGACATACGATATTCTCAGTTCTGATGAACATGAAGATATACAAATATTTTATTCGATGGGAACATAACCGCAACATGCGTGGTTATAAAGAACAACGTCCCTCGATGATTGCAAGTAGGAAAACAATTATATTCTACAATTATATTACTCACTCATAAGCGGAAAAGAACGTACACCCTGCAATAAATGTCTAATTGACTTTATGTCGACTTTTTAATGACTGTTATTAATGGTGCTAGGGTGAAGAAGTTGACGTACGTAAAACTATACATAGTCTGTCGCAAGACGTGCTCGGTTACATTTAAATGACTATTATTGATCACCACAAAGCAGTGAATGCACTTTACGCAATATTTGTCTGAAACATCTGTTAATTCTATTGTATTAGTAGCCAGAATTACGAGAAGCGAGAAAGTTCCAAAAGAGGTGCGCGGTAAATGCTCATAATACTTTCTAGCTTTATTCATATGATGCATTGCATTACAGTTAAACGAGATTCATCATTCGAGATAATATTATACACAAAATGACATTGTAACACGATGCGTTAAGTAAATAAAATTTACCGGAGACGTTATTCAGTGTTAAATGATTTAAACGGTTTGTGAAAATTAATTACATAAATTCATTTTATAACATATTATATTACTGCTTTCTACATTAAATTTAATTTTTCTTATGATCACTGTACATGTGTATATTTCAGCGGATATTTAATTTAGCAATTAAAAAAAAAATATTTTTCGCAGTGGTTTAAACGATTTTTTTTAGATATTTTACATACAGAAAGAATACATACTTTTGTGCTCATCGATAAGTTACACGTAAAAGGAGAGGTCCAACTATGCAAATACTTTCTCTGAATTTTTTAATACATAGTCTTTGTGGTATATGGCGACCTAATGAGTGGTCATCAAACGGCGCAAAACTGCTGTATAACGTATTTACCTTTATTGTAATATTCTCGGAATACTTTTTGGTGTTAACTCAATTTATGGATATAGTTCTTATTGTCGATAATATCGACGATTTTGCCACTAATACTCTAATGTTCCTAACTATTGTTGCTGTATGTTGTAAAGCGACTGTTGTTGTGGTACGTCGAAATGCAATCACGAACTTGGTGCAAGTATTGATGAAGACACCGTGTAAACCTTGTGACGAGGACGAAGTGGCAATACAAACAAAATATGATATGTTTATCAGGTAGATACTTATAGACCCATATTCAGAACGCGCTTTTATTAATAAAAGCGCAATTTTATCTCTAAAATTCTATAGTATGCGTAACGTAAATTATAGCATGTTAGCGCGCTAACATCGTTGTAAGCACGTTCGGAATATGGGCCATTATTAAGAAGATTCTACAGTGAAACATTAGTAAAACTCGAGCAAAATGTCATTACAAGAATTTAATTTAGGTACTATTATACATGAAACATGTTGATCCTCCAACAAAAGATTCAATTAGTATTGGTGAATATGAGAATTTTAGCATTCGCCACAAAGTCTTCTACTTATTGAATTTTGACATTACATCTTACAGTTATCATTTCTATATTTAGAAATGTGATTTTATATTTTGTTTAAAATTCAGAAACTCTTAAAGTGAATATTCTCCAAATATTTTAAAATAATACACGTACGCACAAATATGCACACAATAATTACATTCTGTTACTGTAAACTTATGCAAAGTAAAAGAAAGAGTAAATTGTAAATCCGAGTTGTAAATGTATAAAATGTATGAAAAATAATTTTGATTTTATAATTACAGATCGTGTTCAATAAAATATTCACTTTTAGCAACAAGCTCCGTTACAGGCACTACAATAGGATCAGTATTAAACATTATGCAAGGGCATTTGCCCTATCGAATATGGCTGCCATATAATTACAATGTATCAACGATGTTTTGGGCTACATCTGTTCATCAAATCATAACTGTAATTTTTTCCGCCATGATAAATATTGGCACGGATACATTACTTTTTGGACTGATTTTACATACGTGTACCCAGCTTAAAATTTTCGAAAGTCGTCTTCACAAATTAATAATTAATAGAACAATTAGGTATCTGGAAAATACATTTCCTTCGTCTAATAAAAACAAAACAGGGATATCAGAGTGCATACGCCATCATCTCAGCATTTACAAGTAAGTCACGTAAGAATTTTTATGCATATGTTAAATACCTTTTTATGTGTACGTGAGCGTGTGATTGCATGCGTAAATGTTACTTATTTTTTATATTTAAAAATTATTGTTGTTTAATAAAACGATAATCATTGACGTTTATGACGAAGAGATGTTTAAATTTAAAAAACATTATAAATAACTAACATTAGTTGAAATTAATAGACAACTGGTATGATCTCGAAAACGGAGTACTCTCAACACACGTTATTTTATTATATGGTAATTCTGTATCAAATTGTGTAGAACAAAAAATTACGTCTAAATGCTAGCATAAGACAATTAAATAACTTTTATTCTAGTAAATGATATACCTACGATAAAATTTTTTTACAATTTTTGGATTTGTATAGGAATCATGTTAAAAAATTATGTATGAAGATAGTATAACTATCTTATTCATACAGCAATGCGAGACTAATATAAAACAATTATAGATACGCCGAAACGGTAAACGTTATATTTAACCAGGTGCTTTTCGTTCAATTCTTTGCAAGCATACTGGTATTATGTACAAGCGTGTATTATATGTCAATACATATTAGTGATTTCTATGGTAGTCTGCCTTTTTTAGTGTACACTATTGGCATGTTTGTACAAATCTATGTTTATTGCTGGTCTGGAAACGAAGTCATTCTTAAGGTAACTATCGATACTTTATAAATAGTAAACACAAGCTGATATATGTTAGTAAGGGGTAATAAAAAGTGTCATATATATTTCTCTATAAATCAATTTGTTATATAAAATTTCGAAAGAAAATAAATTCTACAACTTATACTTGATTAATTTGAAAATAGTCTAAGGGTGCTTTCCATTTGATGACATAAGTTGACATGTCTGCCTAGCTGCCCTCCCCCTCTCTCCCCCCACTTAACCAAAACTTAATGAATAAATTATATAATAATGCGCTATTTATGCGCTCTCAAAATCCGCAAAAAAATGTTTGCGCTCATTTCGTTTAGCTAAAATTTGGTGTGGGAGCTGAGTAGGCCATTAATCACGTGTTAAAAACAATCCACTCCCCCCCCATGTGTTAATAACAACCAATTTGGAAAATCAAATACACAGAATTTATTCGCTATTTTTTATGCGTTTTCATATTCACAGTTTCAATTTTTGCGCCGTAATCCTTAAGAGACTTCCCTCTTGGAGCAAACAGTAGTATTCGTATCTAATACATACATACATGTACTGAGAGAAAAATGTTTGGTATTTGTAACTATAATTACATATTACTATAATTATGATTATTACTGCTATAATAATAATAATAGTAACTATGTATATAGTCCTAGCAACAAATGTATATATTCGCAACCTAAAATAACTATATATAATTATAGTTATTATAACCATAAAATTGTAGAAATTATCATAAAAACGATTCAAATGACTATAATTTTACAGTTAAACAATTAAAAATATGGTTGTCCCAAAATACAACTATAAAATTATAGTCACTTGAATCATTTTTATGGTAATTTCAACTATTTTATGGTTATAATAATTATAATTATAGTCATTTTAGATTGCCAACTATATACATAGTTACTATTATTATTATTATTATAGCAGTAATAATCATAATTATAGTAATATATAATTATAGTTACAAATACAAACAATTTTTCTCTCACTGTGTTGTGACCACGTCACCACGTGATAGTCAATACTTCTAACTTTTCCCGCAAGATGCAATGGCACTAAAATTACATCGTCCCGATTTTCCATGGGTTTTCTGAAACTGTGTTTCGAGCCCACTTTTTTCGTGACCGGCCACTTGTTTTATCTTGTATTTCTCATGAATATGCTGAAGATAACACCGATATGTTAAATATAAATTTAGATAACACAGAATATCGTCCGTAATAGTCTAGGAATATACATGGGATATTGTTAGAATGTACTATAAAATATAAAATATATTAGCAATTGCATATTCGAATTATATTCTTAGAATATCATGGATGATGTGTCATGTTCTGAATACATCATAGTATATGCGGCGTATATCTAACTTAAATCTCGTTAACATGTGGATTAATTTTTTTTTCAGTAACAAAGAATTTAAATTTCATTCATTAATGCCCGGAAAAAAATATTTCATATATAATTATATAAAATTATATAAAATTATATATAAAATATGTCCATGTATATATCATTTTCTCCCGAATGTACATCAAAAGTTAATGAAATTTAAGAATATTTCTAACATGCACATAATACTAGTAATATTGATAAATATTGATAGATTCAATATTATTGCAAAGTAATATTTTCATTTATGTTGTGTGTGTATATATATATGTATATATATATTGGCAGAGTATGAGCGTAGGAGACGCTATATACTGTACGGATTGGCCATTATTATCAGTTAACGAAAAAAAAGAATTGCTCATGGTTATGATACGAAGTACAATTCCTATAAAGTTCACTAGCAGCTTCTTGATAACTCTTTCCCTTCAATCTTACAGCAATGTTAGTAGTATTGTTGTGATATATATAAGTACTTTGGTGATAAAATTTCTATGCAATATTATCAATGTTTGTGGCGCAAGTCGCAAAATAAGCCAATTTTGTAATAGTTACACAGTATTCTATACATCAACGTTTTCTATAATTTATCTTTTTTCAGATCTTAAAAACGTCATACTCGGCATTTAATGTACTTCAAAAATGAAATATAAATAACTAAAGTGTACTTGGACATAATTACGTAGTTTTTCATAAATTAGTAACACTAAAGCTTCTTATTACGTATTTATTTCAACCTTATTCTTTGTTCTAAAATTACTTCAATTGTAAGAATAGTGGCGCAAACAGACGCATGTATATACGTTGTACACAATGTAATGAAATGCATGTTTTCATTTCACACACAAGCAGCACTAATTTTGGTTTTAGCATAGAGTAAAAAAAAAGAATTTCTGATCAGTTTACATCATATGTGATAACATTGCGCATACAGTTGATACACTTGTAGTCGGTACTCATACTGACAGTTAACATATTATTAGAAAATATTTGAATATTTTATCAATTAGCCTTATCGCTATATTATCTCGTATTTTATGCAATGTAAAGTAAGATTTTATGAGGAATACGATCTTCCATTTAATTCTGATAATCATTGAAAATATTTTATTCAACACATACAATGGGAATATGACAACGTGCGTTATTGTAAGGAACGACATCCCTCGATGGTTGCAAGTAGGGAAACTTTCACAATTATAGTATTCACTTAGAAGCGGGAAAGAACGCACACCCAGTAATAAATGTCTAATCGACTTCATTCGATTATTTAATGACTATTATTAATAGTACTAGGGTTAATATGTTGAAGTATGTAAAACTGTGCGCAGTCTGTCACAAAGCGTTTTCGGTTACATTGAAATAAATTTCATTCAATTTTATAATAATAAAACATGTTATATCACTGTTAATATTTAGTAATTCTGCATTATTAGCCGAAATTTTAAGTAGCAACAGGTACAAAAAAGGTGCGCGACAAATTCATGCAAACGTTGCTTCTTAAATGTATTGATACAAATCATATACGTTGCATTAGAATTAAATAAGCTCGTGCGATTCTCAATCCGAGATTACATATTGTACGTGATTTATGTGTTAGATGAATAAAATTTGTCACAATGGATCACGTTTAGTATTCAATGTACGATTTAAATATTGGTTTATAGAATTTGTTGATCACGTAATCCATTTCATAAACTATTTACATGTAAAAAGGATTGACCTCTTAAACAAAACTGATAAATTGAAAGGAACTTTAAAGAAGGAATTTCAAACATGCAAATGTTTTCTTTAAATTTTTTTATGTATACCATTTGTGGTATGTGGCGACCGATCGAATGGACATCAAAGGTTGTCAATTTTCTGTATAATGTATTTAATTATATTGTATTACTCTTGGAATACTTTACGATGTTAACTCAATTCCTGGATTTTCTATTTGTTATCGACAATGTCGATGATTTCGTTGCTAATTCTATATGGTTCGTGAGTTTTGTTGATATGGTATGTAAAGCGACTGTCGTTGTAATACGTCGCAATGCGATCATTAGCTTGATACAAGTATTGCTGAAGGGTCCATGTAAACCTCAAGATGAAGACGAAATAGCAATACAAACAAAATTTGATAAATTCGTCAGGTAGGTATCACACATTATTAGGGTAATCTTAAGGTGAAGCTTTAATGAAATTGCATAGATAAGTCTACGCAATAATTTAATTCATGTACAATTTTGGTACGTATCATTTCTTCTTTCGAATTCAATCAGTATTGGTAAATATTACTTTAAAATTTTCTACGAGCTTTTTACTGATTATTGTTGATTTTACAATTCAACGCTATCTTTGTCCATTTAATATTTTAATACTGTAATTTTTTGCATTTATATATAATTCGCTTTTAAAACGCCCTTCGATGTTGTGCGATACCCTGGCCGTAGCCGTAGTCATCTCCGTCTACGTCCATCCATACTTTCGAGGGTATTCCTATTAGGCCCTTTAGCATTTGTTGTTTTTTCGAAGAGTCAGGTTACTGGCTTGACATCTCAACCCCCAACTTGGAGGATCGGGTAATTTTATTTCAGGATTATCTTCCCTTAAACTAGCTATCTTATCCGGACTATTGAGATCAGTTCTCCCATTAAATTGGTTTTTCTGCTCCTTCCGCTAATTGAGATCAGTTTGTGTCCTTCTAGATCATTCCGCCTGTTCTCTAGGTCGGGGCCCTTAGAGGTTGCTATCACTCGGGCCAGATGATCCCTGGTTTATTTACGAGGTTGTTACTCTTCTCCCTCCTCCTTTCTCATCCGGGCTTGGAACCGGCATCGGCGGAGTTATTTTTTGCATTTACTTAACCTAATTAATATTTCTTGTAACGTAAATTCTTAAATATTATTTTGCAGAAGAATACTTTCATATTTTGCTTCTAATACACGCGCACAATTGCATACACACACACACACATACACACGCATAGAGAGGGGGGGAGAGGGGGGAGAAAGAAGGGGATATATAGATACATATATATATAATATACATACAATTATATTTAAATAGCATTATTACAAATTTGTCAAATTGGAAAATATAAGTTAACTTTGATTATCATGCAAGCACGAAAATTAGTAATATAATTTCAATTCTACGTTTACAGATTGTGTTCAATGAAATATTTGTTTCTGGGGATAATCTCACTTATAGGAGTCACAATAGGATCAGTATTCAAAATTATGCATGGTCAATTACCTTGTCGAATATGGTTACCATTCGATTACAATGTGTCTCTAGTGTTCTGGATTGTATCTATTCAACAAATTATAGCTATAATTTTTGGCACTTTCATAGCTGTCGCTACGGACACCTTAGTCTCTGGATTAATTTTAGAAACATGTGTCCAACTCGAAATTTTCGAAAATCGTCTTCACAAATTAATAAATAACAAAACAGTTAAATATCTGGGAAATGCTCTTTGCTCGTTGAATGAAGACAAAACAAGAATATCGAAATGCATACGTCATCATCTCAGTATTTACAAGTAAGTCACTAATTGAGAATCCATTTTTATACAGCACGTCTTTTTATATATATATTTAACTTTGCAAAAGTATTTATATATTATTTAATTGTTGTGTTTCTAAACAATTGCAATTGATTACAACAATACTTATTAATATTTTTTATAAAAAATTGTTTAAGGTCTAAAGATATAGTAATTATAAATAATTGATGCTATTTGGAAATAATAAGAATCCATTACAAACTCGATAAGAAAACATCATCAATGTGTGATTTTATTGTTCTAATTATTATTACATAGATGTGTATGTTATACGTATACAAAATATTTCAGAATGACCGCCAAATATTTTGTGCACAGGTACAACGGACTAATTTGCGTCGAAAAGTTTTCTACTATTTTGCAATTTTCACGACAGTCAACAAGATATTAATTACTAAATATTACAAATTGGTTAGGTTTGGCCAAATTGGCCAAACATTGGTTTTCAATAACTTTTCTCTCAAATACTATCAACTTTACAAAAAAGACAGCAAGAGACAAAAATTGTTTATTTTTTCTCATAGAATTCTGACAATTTTTTCAGAATTTTTTATCAACTTTTTAGTACTGCATTTTTTTATTGGCAACTATTTTTACAAACATGAGAAAATTCGGTACTAAAAAACTCATGAAAATAAATCAATTTTTAACTCTTGCTGTTTTTCTGTAAAATTGATAGTACTTGAGTAAAAAATTATCAAAGCCAATATTTGGAGATTTTTAGTAATTAATATCTTGTTAACTATTGTGAAAATTGCAAAATGGTAGAGGACTTTTCGACTTAGTTTAGTACACTCTATCTGCGCACGAAATACTTAGCGACCATTCTGGGACACCCTGTATATGCTTATTATTATACCGTAGTAAATAATTACACAGATATAACATGTGTACACTTGCTTAAAACTAGAAAGTTTTTATTTCAATAAATACTACATACAAAAATTTTCTGTAAGTTTAAAAATTGTATAAATTATGTTATTCAATTATTGTATAAGGATATTAATTTATTGCAACACAGAACTAACATGAAACTATTACAGATATGCCAAAACGGTAAACATTATATTTAACCAGATGCTTTTCGTTCAATTCTTTGCAAGTATACTGGTATTGTGTTCAGCTGTGTATTATCTGTCAACACATATTACAGAATTGTCTGCTATTGTAAATTGTTTAGTGTACACTATTGGCTTATTTGTACAAATCTATGTTTATTGCTGGTCTGGAAACGAAGTCATTCTAAAGGTAACTATCGATACTTTATAAACAGTAAACACAAGCTGATATATGTTAGTAAGGTAATAAAAAATGTCACATATGTTTCTCTATAAATCAATTTGTTATATAAAATTTCGGAAGAAAATAAATCCTACAATTTACACTTGATTAATTTGAAAATAGTCTACGGGTGCTTTCCATTTGATGACATAAGTCGTTATACAGTATTATTATACAGCAATAATATCATAAACGTTATGTTGACAGAGTATGAGCGTAGGAAATGCTATATATTGTATGGACTGGCCATTATTATCAGTTAACGAAAAAAAAGAATTGCTCATAGTCATGATACGAAGCACAGTCCCTATAAAGTTCACTAGCAGCTTCTTGATAACGCTATCTCTTCAGTCCTACAGCAATGTTAGTAGTATTGTTATGATATATATAAGTACTTTGGTGATAAAATTTCTATGCAATGTTATCAATGTTTGTGGCGCAAGTCGTAAAATAATCGAATTTTTTAATAATTACATAATATTCTATACATTAACATTTTCTATAATTTATCTTCTTTCAGATCTTAAAAACGTCATACTCGGTATTTAATGTACTTAAAAAATGAAATATAAATAACTAAAGTGTACTTGGACATAATTACGTAGTTTTTCATAAATTAGTAACACTAAAAAACTTCTTATTACGTATTTATTTCAATTATTCTTTGTCCTAAAATTACTTTAATTGTAAGAATAGTGACGCAAACAAACGCATGTTAAATATATACGTTTTACACAATGTAATGAAATGCACGTTTTGATTTCACACACAAGCAGCACTTATTTTGGTTTCAGTATAAAGTAAGAAAAAAGAATTTCTGATCAGTTTATGTCATATGTGATATATTGCACATACGGTTGATACATATAATTATTGTGTACACTTGTAGTCGGCACTCATACTGACAGTTAACTTATTGTTAGAAAATATCTGAATATTTTATAAAATAATTGCTCTTATCGCTATAATATCTCGTATTTTATGTAATGTAAAGTACGACTTTATGAGAAATACGGTCTTGTATTTAATTCTGATAATACCATTGAAAATATTTTATTCCATGGGAATATGACAACGTGTGTTATTGTAAGAAACGACATCCCTCGATGGTTGCAAATAGGAAAACTTTCACAATTATAGTATTCACTTATAAGCGGAAAAGAACGCACACCCTGTAATAAATGTCTAATCGACTTCATGTCGATTATATAATAACTGCTATTAATGTACTAGGGTTAAGACGTTGAAGTATGTAATACTGTACGCAGTCTGTCACAAGGCGTGTTCGGTTACATTGAAATAAATTTTATTGAATTCTATAATAATAAAAATATTATATCATTGTTAGCATTTAGTAATTCTGTATTATTAGTCGAAATTTTAAGAAGCAACAGGTCCAAAAAAAGTGCGCGATAAAATCTTGCAAACGTTGCTTCTTAAATGTATTCATACAAATCATGTATGTTGCATTAGAATTAAATAAGTTCGCGTGATTCTCAACCCGAGATTACATGTTGCACGGGATCTATGTGTTAGATAAATAAAATTTGTCGCAAAAAAAAGTTACGTTTAGTATTCAATGCACAATTTAAATATTAATTTATAGAATTTATTAATCGCGAAATCCATTTCATAAACTATTACACTGCTGTCTATATTAAATTCAATTTTTACTGATCTAATTATATTTTTTATATACATATATGTATAGCCAAACATGTAACAAGGATATTTAAGAAAAGACATTTTTTCGCAATATTTTAAAGCTACTTTTTTAGATGTTTCACATGTAAAAAATACTGATCTTTTAAACAAAACTGATAAATTGACTCTAAAGAAGAAATTCCCAAAATGCAAATGTTTTCTTTAAATTTTTTTATGTTTACCATTTGTGGTATATGGCGACCGATCAAATGGTCATCAAATGGTGCCAATTTTCTGTATAATGTATTCACTTATATTATATTATTCTCGGAATACTTTTTAATGTTAACTCAAATCCTGGATTTTCTATTTGTTATCGATAATGTCGATGATTTCGTTGCTAATTCTATAATGTTCGTGAGTATTGTTGCTATCGTATGTAAAGCGACTGTCGTTGTAATACGTCGCAATGCGATCATTAATTTGATACAAGTATTGTTGACGGGTCCATGTAAACCTCAAGATGAGAACGAAATGGCAATACAAACAAAATTTGATAAGTTCGTCAGGTATGTATTACACATTATTAGGTTAATTTAATGGTGAAGTTTTAATTAAATCGCATAGAGAGATAATATCTCTACGCAATAATTTAATTCGTGCACGATCGGTACATCATTTCTTCTTTCGTATTCAATCAGCATTGATAAATATTATCACTTAAAAATTTTCTGCGAGCCTTTTACTGAATATTGTTGATTTTTCATTTCAAACGCTGTCTTTATCCACTTAATATTTTAATAATTAATATTTTAATACATTTAATTTTTTGCATTTACTTAAACTAATTAATACTTCTTGTAACATAAATTCTTAAATATTATTTTGCAGAAGTATAATTCCATATTTTGTTTCTAATCACGCGCGCAATTACACACGCACGCACGCACGCCCGCACGCACGCACCCACGCGTATACGGGCACGCACAATCACATATACACGCACAGAGAAAGAAAGAGAGAAAGGGGGGGGGGGGGAAGGGAGGGGGGGACATGTAGATACACACATATAATATACATACAATTATATTTAAATAGCATTATTACAAATTTGTCAAATTGGAAAATATAAATTAAAACTTTAATTATCATGACAGCATGAAAATTAATAAAATATAATTTCAATTCTACGTTTACAGATTGTGTTCAATGAAATATTTGCTTCTGGCGATGAGCTCACTTACAGGCGTCATAATAGGATCAGTATTAAATATTATGCAGGGTCAACTACCTTGCCGAATATGGTTGCCATTCGATTACAATGTGTCTCTAGTGTTCTGGATTATATCTATTCAACAAGTTATAGCTATGATTGCTGGCACTATCATAAATATCGGTACGGAAACACTAGTCTTTGGATTAATTTTAGAAACGTGTGCCCAGTTCGAAATTTTCGAAAATCGTCTTCATAAATTAATAAATAATAAAACAGTTAAATATCTGGAAAATACATTTTGCTCGTTGAATGAGGACAAAACAGGTATATCGAAATGCATACGACATCATCTCAGTATTTACAAGTAAGTCGTTAATTGAGAATCCATTTTTATATAGCAAATCTTTTTATATATGTATTTATATATAACTTTTGTATTTATCTATAACTTTTGTAAAAATATTTATATATTATTTAATTCTTGTGTTTCTAAAAATTGCAACTGATCATAACAATACTTACTAATATTTTTTATAAAAAATTGTTTAAGCTCTAAAAATAGTAATTATAGATAATTGATGCAGTTTGGAAATAATAAGTAACTATTACAAACTCAGTCAGAAAACGTTAATGTGTGATTTTAGTGTTTTATTTACTATTAATAAATGCTATATGTTATACATATACAGAGAGTTCCAGAATGCCCATCCACCAAATATTTTGTGCGCAGGTACAGCAGACTAATTTGAGTCGAAAAGTCTTCTACTATTTTGCAATTTTCACGACAGTCAACAAGATATTAATTACTAAATATTACAAATCGCCAAACATTGGTTTTCAATAACTTTTCTCTCAAATACTATCAACTTTACAAAAAAAACAGCAAGAGACAAAAATTGTTTATTTTCTTCTCATAGAATTCTGACAATTTTTTCAGAATTTTTTATCAACTTTTTAGTACTGCATTTTTTTATTGGTAACTATTTTTATCAACATGTAAAAATGCGGTACTAAAAAACTCATGAAAATAAATCAATTTTTAACTCTTGCTGTTTTTCTGTAAAATTGATAGTACTTGAGTAAAAAATTATCAAAGCCAATATTTGGAGATTTTTAGTAATTAATATCTTGTTAACTATTGTGAAAATTGCAAAATGGTAGAGGACTTTTCGACTTAGTTTAGTACACTCTATCTGCGCACGAAATACTTAGCGGTCATTCTGGGACACCCTGTATATGCTTATTATTATGCCGTAGTAAATAATTGCATAGATATTATACAATATGTGTACTTGGTTAAAAAACTAGAAAGTTTTTATTTCAATAAATACTACACACATGATTTTTCCATAAATTTAAAAATTGTATAAATTATATGTTATTCATTTATGTATAAGGATAGAGAGAGAGGAGAGAGAGTAATTTATTGCAACACAAAACTAACATAAAACTATTACAGATATGCCAAAACAGTAAATGCTATATTCAATCAAGTACTGTTCGTTCAATTTTTCGGTAGTATATTGATATTATGTACATGTATATATTACCTATCAATGCATTTTACGGAACTGTCTGGAATTGGAACTTTAATAGTATATATCATTTCCATGTTTGTACAAATTTACATTTACTGCTGGTCCGGAAACCAAGTTATGCTTAAGGTAACTTACTCTATTATAGCCTTCATCAGATATATACCTTACTAAAAATAATAGAAAACATCGAGTATATTTTCCTACAACTCAATACGAGTGAGATAATTTAACTTTCTTAGTAAATAAGGGATTACTTTATATACGAAAAGACAAATATTCATTTATATGTGTGTTTATCAGTCTTGTATTATTTTACACGTACACGCATAATACAAAACTAATTATTGATAATGTTATACGGTATTATTATTATGCAGCAATAATATTATATATGTTATGTTGGCAGAGTATGAGCATAGGAGAGGCTATATATTGTATGGATTGGCCACTATTATCAATTACCGAAAAGAAAGAATTGCTGATCATTATGATACGTAGCACAATTCCTATTAAATTCACTAGCAGCTTCTTGATAACTTTATCTCTTCAATCTTACAGCAGTGTTAGTAATATTATTACTTAAATCTTAAATGAGTGGATAAATATATTATATATATTATAAAATATTTCGCGTTTAATGTTGGAGAACTTAATATTTATTGCATAAGAGTAGTCTGAAAACAGCCGATATATCTAGAAAGTGTTTAATAGTTTATATTAATATATCTTCTCTAATTTTTTTCAGATTTTAAAAACGTCATACTCCGCATTTAACGTACTTCAAAAACAAAATTAAATAATATAACTTAGAGCTTACTTGAGCATATTAATTATGTAGTTTTTCGCAAATTAATGACACTAAATTTTAAAATTTCTGTTTATGTATTTATTACAACCTTAAATATTCATTCTGGTTGTAGGAATGTTGACACGAATATATGCAAACACAATATAGACACAGTATAATGACAAAAAAATACTGTGCAATATATTTGATTTGATTTATAAGCAGCATTAATGCTGGTTTCAGCACTAAAGTCAGAAAAAAATAATATCTCAGTCTATACTTTTGTAAAAAAATAATATCTCCGTCTATACTATTGTAATATGTTGCGTATAAGATATATGGATACGTATTTTTCTGCACATTTATCATACTTTATAGATATATAGATAAGTAATTTGAAGAATATATCCCAAGTTTATTACACATCACTTTTATTGCTACACTAGTAGGTTTGTATTTTTATATAATAAAATGAGAGGCTTTGCGGAAAATACGATATTCCCTGTAATTCCGATGGACATGAAAATTTTATTCAACAGAAACGCAATAATATGCGTGACTGTAAAGGACCGCAATATCCCTCAACAGGTGCAAGTAGGAAAACTTTTACAATTAGAGTTACTACACTATTCATGAGTGTGGAAAAGAACATGTATTTTATAATAAATGATTAAATGACATCATGTTGATTTTTTAATGACCGTAATTGGTAGTACTAGGGTTGACAAGATATTGAAGAATGTAAACTATACATAGTCTATCGCAAGACATGTTCGATTACATTTAAATAAAATTTACTGATACGATAATAAAATAACATATTATATCAATGTTAGTATTTGTCGATCTTATTATCATTAGCTAAAATTCTAAGAAGTGATATTTTCCAAAAAAGGTGCGCAATAAATATTTATAAATACCATTTTTGTAGTTGGGTTTACACAAATCATACGCTGTATTATAGTTAAATAAGGTCATCCGATTCGCAATCCGCGCAAGCAATTATATGCAATATGTACTCAAATAAATAAAATTTGTACCAATCGAACAGTCGCATTCGGCATTTAGTGTGTGTGAGATTTAAATATTAATTTGTAGTATTTTATGTTCACTAAAAGCATAACTTATTTCATAAAATATTATACAACCTTCTATATTAAATTCAATTTTTCTTAAACATGGTACTACTTAAATTTAATTAGTATATTTCAGAAATTTCAGAAAAGATAATTTTCGCATCGTTTTAAACTACTTTTTTAGATACTTTATAGATAGAAAGAAGCTATACTTTTGTATAATATTTCGATAAGTTGTTTGAAAGAAAGCGATCCAAATATGCAAATGCTTTCTTTAAATTTTTTTATATACACCGTTAGCGGTATATGGCGACCAGTTGAGTGGTCATCAAATGGTGCCAAGCTGCTGTATAATGTATTTACCTTTATGGTAATATTCTCGGAGTACTTTTTGGTGTTAACTCAATTTATGGATATAGTTCTTATTGTTGATAATATCGATGATTTTGCCACTAATACTCTAATGTTCCTATCTATTGTTGCCGTATGTTGTAAAGCGACTGTCGTTGTGGTACGTCGAAACGCGATCATCAATTTAGTGGAAATATTATTGAAAGCACCATATAAACCTCGAGATGAGGATGAAGTAGCTATACAAACAAAATTTGATAAATTCATCAGGTGGGTTCATATCTTTCTTAAAACGTTCCAATATTAAAAGATTATTATAACTTAAAATATTTATGCAATAATTCAATTCGAATACGTTCAACATGTACTTTTTCTAAATCGTACAAATTTGATCAGCACTAGTTGTTTCTATAACAAATTATGAGTCCTTTAGCTTTTACTACATGTTGTTGATCATATATTTTAAAGCATATACTTATTTTACATAAAAATGTAGTAATTTTCTATTCTCTGTTTAATTAATAAACTTTTAGTTGAAGAAGTTTCTTATTCCAATTTCATTTTAAATTATAGCAATAATTCGCAAAACACATGTACAAAATAATTAAATATAATATAATAATTATAAACATTATGATTATAAATTTCATTAAATTATAAATGTAAATAAATGCTGATAGAAGTTTATATAAAATTTCATCTCGGTTCTACGTTTGCAGATCATGCTCGATAAAATATTCACTTTTAGCAACAAGTTCCGTTACAAGCACTACAATAGGATCAGTATTAAATGCTATGCAAGGTCATCTGCCTTATCGAATATGGCTGCCATGTGATTACAATGTAACTACGACGTTTTGGATTATATCCGTTCATCAGATCTTAGCAATAATTTTTGCCACGATGATAAATGTTGGCACGGAAACCTTAGTCTTCGGATTGATTTTACAAACGTGTGCTCAGCTTGAAATTTTCAAAAGTCGTCTTCACAAGTTCATAATTAAAAAGACAGTTACATATCTCGGACATGCACGCTCTTTGTCGAATGAAGATAAAACATGGATATCGGAATGTATACGTCATCATCTCAGCATTTACAAGTAAGTCACGTAAGAATCCGTCTTTATGCATATATTCAGCTTGCTCTTTATATACGTATATGTGCATTACATATGCGCGCGACAAAAATATAAAATATGTAAGAAACATTTTTTCCTGATTTTGTATTTCAAAATACTGTCAGCTCATATTAATACAAGTCCGATATTAATGCAATTTTAAACTTCACCTTTTTTCGAGAGTAGAAAATATATCTCGTTATAAAAGTTATAAAGCCTTTTATACGAACTAATGTATAACATTTATATAACATTTTTTTCTTATTTCCGTTCACAGAACATATTGTAATTTTTTCGGAAACTCCGAAGACACACCTTTGGTCTGTTTTCTGTTTCTGCACTAGACTGCACTAGAAGTCTCTTTCTCGCTTTCGACAAATATCAAACATATACCTATTTCACTAGTTCCAAAAATTTTACTGGTTCAGCCACAGAAAACAGATATCTTGTGTAGTCATTTCGTAGTAAGTTGTCTAGGAAAAAGTATCATCTAAGGATTAAGTAGTTTTTGTTTCAGTAAATTATACGGGCTAAAATTTTTATACAATTGTTAATTAAGAATATTATAAAATTAAGTAAAAGTACCGATTAGGGGACCCTCCCCCAATAACCTTGACCTTGACATATGTTGTCAAGGTCATGACCCTGAGTGACCTCCAACATGTTTTAGCCGTCGCTCGTTATTCGTTAAAAAGTTATTAACGGTTAAAGTTAGTAATTATTTCAATGCTTTACAAGTTTACATGAAAAGTCAGATAATTCTGGGCAGTAAGAGAGGTATGGAGCGAACTGATTAAGGGAATATGACTTTCCACCCCC